GAGAGAGAGAGAGAGAGAGAGAGAGAAATCTTGTATTTTGGAGGAAAACTTTATTTAATTAATATAAATTCACGTGAAATAAAAACTATACTGTAATTACTAACTTACTTGTTTGTCAAATACATGTTAATGAATTCAATATTCTTTACTAGTAAATTTTATAACATTATTAAACATAAATATTAATTTTTTAAAAAGCTTGTACAGTATTAACAAATTATTATAATAGAATTTAATAATAAAAATTTAAAATAATGTAAATTGCATATAATTAGTTAAAACATGAATATAAATATTAATTATATTACATAAAACCTAACCGGCATTAAAATTCCCATTAGTCCTTGATTATTTACTACGGTGCTAAACTCAAATTTATTGTAAAATATTGTTATTCTAAATTTATTAATTAATATTAAATAATTTTAAACATTTTATATTGATTTCTATTGTATTCCCATTTATTTATGCAAAATAATATTGTGTAAGAAATAAAATTAATCTATGTGGTTGTAATTATTTATAAATAAATGTTGTTAATGTTTAATATTGTAAGTAGTTTTATCACAATTTTAATAGAATACGAAAAGCCTATTAATTTATAAATGAATAAAGAATGATGAATTAAAATAACATAAAAAGTATCATGATATTCTGTCAAAATGTATCATAACTTATTATATTATGTCTGGGCAGCAGAAGTGGCAGTAGAAATATAAATTACAAAAAAAAAATTATTTTGTATTTAATATTAATTTAACCGTAAAATATTTGTCAATTTTATTGAAATAAAAATTATACGATTTTATAAAATAATGAAAATTAAATATATTTTATTATTTGAATTAATAATATTTTTGTAAAAAATATGTCGTATTTCGCGTAATATTAACAAAAATTACACCGAATTTTAATTTTCCGTTAAATAATAGATGATTTTATATTATTCCATTAAAATTTATAAACAATATGGTAATTTTTATTACAGACAACATTGTAAATCGTATTACATTTATAAGTTATATTTCTAATTAATAAATTTTAAACATATCTGGCATAAATATATGCATAATATTTTATCAAGATTTTACAAACACAATAATTTTTATAATTTTTGTTTTTTTTATTATTTTACTCAAATAATAATAGTTATATATTATTTTTATTAAGACAAACACATAATTAAACGTAATATTAATAATTATGTAAAATGTCTGCTATTTACTACAGCTTTATCATAGTTTAAAATGATTAAAAACAAACTTGTAATAACAATATTAAATGGTAATCACACAATTTAATAAGGTTGCGTGAGTCTAATCAGTAATGGGGATATAATAATTAGCACAGTAGCCAACGCGGTGAACATCTCCCAGACCATGCTCAATTTTTTGTTGGTCATATCACCGGTACGTTTACGTCTCTCTCCTATCATATCGGGTGAGGGTTGACGCAAATCGTACGCCTGACCCAACACAGCCATCGTGTTTATGAATATGGTGGCCGGGTTGAACCCATCTAATGGACCATATTCACTCGCCTTATAGTCCCTGAATGTGTGATCGGGGTTAGATTTGTTTACAATTAACTTACTAGACTAAATAATCATTGATTATTATCAATTAATTATTAAATTCGTTTATAATAAATGTATTTTAAAAACTATTATTATATATTTATATACTAATAATTATGATTAAGGTATAAAGTAGTTAAATAAAATGTAACCATGGAAATGTGTGGTGATAGTTGTGAAAGCCCTCGCCCATCATCACGTGCCGTATATTACACTCCACGGGGTTTATGGTCATATCGTATGGCTATTAATTAAACAGAAACATTATTTGTACAATTAAATAAACCATAATAAATAAATTAATTACTACCTTGTACCCCCAGTAATGGGCGGCGCTATTAACACACCATGTTATATTCAAT